GGTGCTATATAAATGCAAGTTATTGTTGTTGTTGCCTCAAACTGTTCGACTGTCACAGGCTGTTGCTGTCAGGTGTAGTGTCTGTTTCTCTCCTATCAATCTTCTCCTACCTACTCCCCCGCTCGCCCCCATCACTCAGCTAAATCGTCCCCCGCCCTCTCCGCGCCATCATCAGTGACCAAGGCCTTCAACTCCCTCGCCACTGAGATCTGGAACTCCTTCCATCTACCCCTCCATCTCACCCCATCTCTTTCTGACCTTCAGTTCCACTTCAAACCCTACCTCCTTGAACATGCTAATGCCACCATCCACCTCCCTGCCTCTCCTCTCTCCTTCCCCCCATCTTCTCCTTCCCCCCATCTCCCCCTTTCCCCCCATCTCCCCCTTTCCCCCCGCCCAGTGTTCAGCGCTGTCCCTGTGAAATACTCTGAGACATTGTCATACATGATAGGTGCTGTATAATTACAAGTTCTTCTAGGCAAACACAGTGGTGTTTAGTTCACCAGGAGCTCTGGATAACAATGAGAGCCAAGGCTTGGGGTCCCCAGTCTGTGTTGGGGTAACTGCTAGAATCTAACCAATTAAAACCACACCTTGCCATTGAGAGCACTGCCCAGCAAGCTTTCCTGCTGCTTGTCTAGCTAGGGCCACCCTCTCTGTTAGGGCTTTGGCTTGCAGTTGATTGGGAGGATTCCCTCCCCCAGACTGGTCTGCCCCTTCATGTCCTGCTGAGGAGCCAGGCTGGCTGTGCTGTCATCAGAAGTGACCTGGAGTATTGTAGACCTGCCCGGCTCAGCAACTGGACTAGAGACAGAGGGTGGACTCGATTCTAATATTCCGTTGCCAAACACGTCACGTTGGAGTCAGTTCAGCTCCAAGGAAACCCCACTTACTTCCCCCCCCCCCCAAGAAGGCTGGTAACTGTCCCCTGGTTTAGCACAGCATGGACCACCGCTGTTCAGTCTCAGCAGAGGCACTGATAACGTGGAAGCTGCAAGAACCATCTTTAAGAGTAATGCAAAAACACAGTCACTACACTTAACAGTGAATCCTGCGAAGCGCTCTGAGACGTCCTCCCAACTTGAAAGGTGCCGGATCAAATGCCGGCATTATTCTTCTTACTATGATTGTTAGTTCATTGTGTCTGGTATAAACGCTTTGACCCATCCCAGCGCTGAACAGACTGCTGCAACGTAAAACCCAACAAAGTCAATTGAGAAACCAGGGCAATAAAAGTTTGCGATGGTTTTTATTGTAAAAGTTTGTAAGATTGGAGTAGTAACTGGGAAATCAGCTAATCTCCAGACTGTATTCATAGAACAACATTGTCACCTACTGTAACATCTGGGCAACTGCAGGGACTGGGAAGAGCATCGGTTCATCAAAAGTGCAACGTCCACATTTATAACGAGATTTCTCAAACTTGTTCTTTCTCTTGTTTTATTTTTTAAGAGGGGGACAGGAGACAGCACGACAGGCCTTTGGAGATATTCTTTTCCTTCCTCGTGTTTTTTTCCTAAGGAAAAAAGATATTCCTTTTTATATAATTCCGTTAAAACGAATGGAAATTGGGGTTTGGCTGTGAGCTGGACTGTGCTCTAACCCCCAATCCCTGCCTCTGTCAGGTCTTCACGTGAGGAATGGTCGCTTGGGTAAGGTACTGGAGAGACCGAGGACACCCAGTGTCACACAGGAGGGGGAGCGGGAGGATGAATATATACTTGGGAGGTAAGATGTCAAATGCCCTTGTTGAACTCTGTGTCTTTGGCGAACCCCTGACAAGCCACGGTGCTCACCAAACAACATCTTGGCTCAGCGGCAGGACCTAGAACAGCAGATCAGTCACTGAAGGCAGGGAGTCATCCCACTCAGCTCCTGTTAACCCTGCAAGCCAAACCCTAATGGGTAGGGTGGTCCCAGCTGGACAAGCAGCGGGAAAGCTCGCCCGACAACAATATCAATGGCAAGCTATGTGGTGTTAGCTGGTTAGATTCCAGGAGTTACCCCAATGTGGGGTACCCAAGCCTTGGCTCTTGCCAACCTATGCCTAATACTTTTCGGAATTAGGTAAGCAGGATATGTCCCTCCAGGGAGAGAGTGCGTAGTCAGGCTGCAACTGGCCTCAGAACCCCTGGGTTAGGGAGGAGGGAATCAGCCAGCGCTCCCGCTCCTCTGACATAGTGATTTTTTGCTGAAATATCCAGGGTTAAAATGATGAGTGAGGGTGCAATAAAGTGGCAGGGAACTTGGTGAGGCAAATGGCCTCGTTTAGCACCTACGTTATTATGGCTCAGTTCAGACGCTGTTTTTAATGCTTCTACCAACCGAGCCGGAGGGGGGCCCATTGTCCACCGTTATAAGGAAATTCCCATTATCTAGGCCAGTTAGACAGAACCTGTGGGCACCAGCAGCTCTGCCAGCTCATTCCCTCTCTAACACTGGGTTATCTCACTCCGCAGCTGTGCAGCGTTTTCAAATAGCATTCGGGCAAAATACAGCCAATTCCGTCGTGTTCGCTAGCTGCGTGACCTTTAGCCCCGACCCTCAAAACCAAAACCTAAAATGAGCTATTTCTTACCTCGGCTGCCTAGCAACCAGCTATTCACGTGGTGACTGGTACGGGAGCCTGGAAGCTCGGTCGATGGGCAGCCAGCGTCGTGGGAATGCAGATTCCAGCCTTATTATGCTATCCTGACAGAGCGGTTGGGAAAATCTCTGCATTTTTCTCTGTGTCAAATGCGGATTAAGTCAAATTGAACACGTAAGAAATTGCAGGCATCTCGAAACAAATTTACTCTTTTCAAACTTGCGTGGACATTCGGTTCATATCTCGGTTTGCGTTGGTTACGTGGCATCCTGCAGCTTAGTGGTTAGAGTACTCGCCTCGCAAGCGAGAGGACCTGGGTTTGATTCCCGGGCAGGGCGAAACGTTGGGCAAGTTTCCTTACTCAGCACACCTGTGCTTACCTAGCAGTAAGTAGGAACCCCGTTGTTAGTCGATTGACGGATTGATTTTCCAGGGGTAATCATCCCCTCAAAAAAAAAAAAAATTGGTCACTCAATCCAGAACTGTTTGTGGGGACGCTGCTGTGCGCAATTGGCTGCCGCGTTTCTCCCACAAATTATAGTCAATTCACTTTACAGTATATTCTGTGAAAGGCTTTGGGACGTCTCGAAGACGTGATCAGGTGCATTATCAAATGCGCGGATTATTATCATCACACCGCAGAGAGCGATCAGCCAATCGACTAACGACCGGTGGTCCTAGTTACTGCTGGTAAACGGAGACGTGTGGAGTAAGGAAACTTGCCGGGTTCGCTCGCAAGTCAAGCGTGCTCAGCACCTACGCTGCGGGGCTCCACGCTATGGGAGTAGCAAGAGAGCGGGCGGCCTTGATACGGCAATGGGCAGGTCAGCTCGCTGGTTGTTATTGCTGCTGGTTTGAATCCCAGTTCGTGCTGAGCTTGATGTCTCAGCCGGAGAGATGCAACGAGGAGGCTGGCTTTCCTGTACCTGAGCGCCGTCCAGTGGCTGTGGGTGTGTGTGGCAGCCCGGTGGGGAGACTTCAGGTCCTCACTGCTTCACACCACCGCAACTTGCATTTATATCGTCCACTTCACAAGCGTAGGGTCCGGCCAGGGGTAACTGCTCGCGAAACCAGAACCCAGCCAGCAAGAGGGCCAGACCGTGCCAACGGGGAGAAAATAATTGAACGCAATAGGTTATTCAAAGAATATCAGAAAAGAATCGAACTTTTATTGAGTCAAAACAGCCATCCCCTCCGGTACACTCCTCCTACACCCTTAGTCCCCCTCCCCTCATGCTCCTTCCCACCCTAAGCCCTGCACCCCCTGATCCTTCTACACCCCATCTCCCCAAACCCCTCGAACTCTGCTCCCCAACCTCCACAACCCCACACATCCCCTCCAGGTACTTACACCCCGTTACCCCTTTCCCTACCCCTCTATGCTCTCCCTCGCCCAAATTTGTCCACACAATGCACAGTCACTCCTTTTGTTTTGCAGTATCTCATGTGAATTGCTTTCAAAGGCAGGACACCCAACGTGAAAGGCGATGTATCACATACAGGGTGACCAAAAAGTTGTGATACCATTACAATGTCCAATTAAGTCTTAGAAATTATTATTTTTAAATAGATAATAGTGTAGCTGAAAAAAGATTTTTTTGGTCACCCCGAATAAGGATTGTTTAGTCCTTACCAAATCACCCCAAATTCCTTATCCCCATCACCCAACACTCCCCTAAACCCCTTCCCCTCACCCCCATAACCTCCCCTCCCCTCCACCCCCATAACCTCCCCTCCCCTCCACCCCCATAACCTCCCCTACACCGCCTCTCCACCCCACCCTAATCCAACCCCCACCCCACCTCTCCCCCTCCCCCTTTGGCACTGGGATGGCCTGTGGGGTGGGGATGGCCTGTGGGGTGGGGGGGGGGTGGCCTGTGGGGAGGGGGGGGATGGCCTGTGGGTGGGGGGGGGATGGCCTGTGGGGGTGGGGGTGGCCTGTGGGGAGGGGGGATGGCCTGTGGGGAGGGGGGGGGATGGCCTGTGGGGAGGGGGGGGTGGCCTGTGGGGAGGGGGGGGGGATGGCCTGTGGGGTGGGGATGGCCTGTGGGGAGGGGGGGTGGCCTGTGGGGTGGGGGGATGGCCTGTGGGGGGGGGGATGGCCTGTGGGAGGGGGGGGATGGCCTGTGGGGTGGATGGCCTGTGGGTGGGGGGAGATGGCCTGTGGGGGGGGGATGGCCTGTGGGGAGGGGGATGGCCTGTGGGAGGGGGGGATGGCCTGTGGGTGGGGGGGATGGCCTGTGGGAGGGGGGGATGGCCTGTGGGGGGGATGGCCTGTGGGGAGGGGGGGGATGGCCTGTGGGTGGGGGGGATGGCCTGTGGAGGGGGGGTGGTGGCCTGTGGGTGGGGGGGGGGAATGATTCTCCTCCGGAACCAAGGATAAGGCCGGAAGCGGAAGTGCGCGCGGGGGGGGAGAGAGGAGGGACGGCTTCCGGTGTTTGAGGTGTGTTTGAGCGCGAGAAGGCGCTCCTCCTCCCCCCGCGGCCAGAGGGCAGGTCAGTGTGAATGGTCAGCCTCCCCCCCCCTCCGTGACTGCTTATTAACGATGGGGCAGCATCTATGGAGAGAGGCAAGTGAGTTAACGCTTCAGGTCATGACCTTTGATCGGAGATCAGAGATCAAAGGTCACGACCTGAAGCGTTGACTCACCTTCCACTCTCCATAGATGCTGCCTGACCCGACCCGACTGAGCGTTCCCAGAGGGGGAGAGGTGAGTGGGGGTGGGGGGTGGGAGGGGGGCGTTGGGGAGAGGAGACGGGAGGGGATTCATGCCAAAAGGGGAAGGGGTTTGGCGCCCCTCCCCGCCCCTCCCCCCCCCCCCCCCTCCCCGCCCCTCCCCCCCCTCCCCCCCCCCCCCCCATTATAATCCCTCAAGAGAAACTATTTTTCTAATCGGGTCACTTCAGTCCCACTCGAGGCCGTTGGCGCCCGATCGGCCGCCGCCTCTCGCCCACAGCGGGTCCCGCCACGCGCTGTGAGACGTCTCTGGAGACGCCGAAAAAGCGCCGTGTCCAACAAGGAGGGGCGTCGTCGTTATCAGCCTCAAAGCGCTGCGCGGGAGGCGGTGGCTGTGTCTTGTGGGCGAAGGCGTGAAGTGAATCGTCGTTTTTTTTTATCGGGGGTGGTGGGGGGGGGATGGTTTCGAATAGTGCCGCGGGAGCTTTAACGTCTGCCTGAACTGGTTCGGTGTAACAGGTCATCCGAACAGCGGGACCTCCCGACAGCGCGACACGCCCACAGCCCTGCGCTGGAGCGTTACTTGGACTGCGAGTTCAGAGTCCCAACGTGAGGCTTGAACCCACGAACCTTCTGACACATGAGGCATAAGTGCTGCCGCTGCACCAGGCCGGCCGGCCGGCCGACACACGTCTGCGTTCCAGGCATTTCTCAGTGTGATCCGGGCATCCAGAGTCATTAATTATTTAAATACACCTTGATTTTTTTTACCGTCAGTGTCCAGCCTTAATCGCTCTGCTTGGTTTCAGAGTGTGTTGCGTTCACCCCAGCTCCCCCACCCCCCCACCCCCCCCCCAGTGATTGTCGGGAGTAGCCTGCTTGTTAATGGTCCTTATGTGGGAGGATGAGAGATGGAAAGGGAATTAATGTGAGAATTTTGGCTCTGTGCGTGCTCAAAAATGAACTGCATGCAGTACATTCACTGCTTCATTTTTCCCCATTTCTGCTGCAGACAGAATGTCCTGCACTGAGTGAGATTGCAGACGAGAGGGAAAGCCACGCACAGACTCTTTGAGAGTGAAGACTGACAGCCATGTCCTATCTGCACGGATTCCGACGGATTATTTTTGAGTATCAGCCACTGGTCGATGAGATTCTTGATGTTTTGGGACTAAAGGAGACACCCAGGAAGGAGGCCGGGGACCCTGGGGACGGGTGAGTCACTGTCAGATTTCACCAGCTTCATTGTTTCTGTAGATGCATTCAAATTCTGGGGCTATCACCTCTGAGTCGGGATATTGTGACTTCAAGCCCCACAATGGCTGTCACTCTGGTTGGTGCAGGTGCTGCATTGTCCTCAAATGAGACATTGAACCAAGGTTTTCCGAGCTTCCAGATTAAACATCCACATTTGAAAAGAGCTGGTTGTTACTCCCGATGTCGTGGCCATCAATCCTCTGCTGTAATAGGACGCTTCCCTTATGGTGGGACCTTGCTGTGTGCAGAATCGCTGCCATGTTGGTTGCAAACAGTCACCACACATACCTGTGAGGTTCTTTGAGACGTTTTGAAATCTCAAAAACAAACAAAAGAATGCTTTGGCATTTTGTTCTGCTACCCCACTCCTATGTTCGCTTCCCCCTCTGCCCTGTGTTCAGCTAACACACGTCCACCACCCAATCCGCTCTACCATCAGTTGCTGAGCTTTCCAATTCTGTACCCCTAACGTCTGGAACTCTCTCCCCCCCGCACCCCCCTCCTACTGTGCCTCGCCTTTTCTCGATTTGTTTTATTATTATATTAAGTCTTGTCTAGGTTGGAGGTGCTCAAACATTGCCACAGCCCCCAGGACTCCGGAATGGTTCTGGAATCGGAGAAGAGATAGGTGTAGCTGTTCATAAGCCTCGGTGCTTGTTCCTGTTTCCCAGCGACCAGTCCTAACTCTCCCGCTCTGTATGTTTGGTTGCAGATGCGCGGAGGGCGGGGCCGGGTGCTCGGCTTTGCCGGAGCTGCTGGCGAGGGAGGCGGAGTCTGCCTTCTACACGGATGCCGTCAGCTACTCGCTGCTCAAAGTGGCTGAAGCCGGACGGGTCAGTGCTGCCGAGGAGCTGCTGTCACATGGAGCTGATCTGAGCTTCGAAGGTCAGTGTCGTCCCAGTGGGAGGACGGTCGGTGGCCAATAGGCGTGTGGGACGTGAAGGGGGGTGGGGAGGGAGATACGTGGGTGTGGAACTTTCCAGGTACAAGGAAATGTCCGTGTGTAGATGGGTGTACATATATGGAACTCTGCCTGGATACTGTTAAGCATGGGAACATGTCAGACCCCAGCTGAGCAAAACCAAAACCTGGCTGTGTGCGGGGTGGGAGGGGGCTGCTGTGTGTGGGTGGCTGCGGCTGTCACTCGTCGCTGTGCCACGCACACAAGGGGACATTCTAATGGCGTCACGTTGTTTCTCTCCGTCACAGATCCCGTGACATATTACACGTCTCTGCACGTGGCCGTGCTGCGCAACCAGCCCGATATGGTGGCCCTCTTGGTGCGGCGCGGAGCGGACATCAACAGGCGAGACCGGGTAAGAACCGTACCCTGCCGCGCTAATCCGGCCCCAACCTTGTGGCTGTGATGGACGCTGCATATAACCCGAGTCGTTGTCGGTGTTGCAGGTTCACCGGAGCAGCCCGCTGGATCTAGCGAGCGAGGAGGCGGAGCGAGTGCCGTGCCTGCGACGGCTCCTGGAACTCGGGGCCGACGTCAACGGCGTCGATAAAACCGGTCAGTCGCCCGTTCCCGGCTTTCTCTCCGGTTCCCGAGAGGTTTCTCTATCTGATTCCGTCTTGTTTTTTTTCAGGCAAATCCGCGCTGCTGCACGCCCTGGCCAGCAGTGACGGGATCCAGATCCACAACACACATAACATCCGGCTGCTACTCGAGGCAGGTAGGTTTCATCCACAAAATACACAGTCACTACACTATATCCTACGCTATCCTTGCTTCCATTTTCTCTCCATTTGGGTCTAATCCCCGGGAGTTGGAAGCAGCGAATCGTGCAGATACCCGGATCATTGCCAGGTCCCTGATCTGCCGTGAGTTGCTCTCTCTTTGGGCTGTAATCTGTCCACAATCTGACGTGATCCAGCATGGGTGGTCCTGTGAGGGTCATTGCGAAAGATCTGGAGACCTGTGGGATTCCTTCTTCACAATGCCTGCCTCTGTGTACGTGCCACCACACAGTATTGCAGGCATTGTAAAAAGAGGGGATTTCTAGGGTTCATGCCCACGAACTGTTCAAAGGCCACTCCAGCCTCACTCAGCCCTTTAATACATAAGCTGATCGAGTGATGCTGATCAGCTTGTAGATTTGATTTCCAGCATCACGTGTCGCTGTTTACTTTGTTCATGTAGATGAGAGGATGGAATTCAGCACCAACACTGCCATAGGTTAGAGACAGTAAAGCTCCCTCTGCACTGTCCGTCCATACACCCAGATTAGCGACAGCACGGGACAGACACAATAAAGCTCCCCTCCTACACTGTCCGTCCAAAAAGTTAGTGTTGGAAAAGAGATGGGAGATCTCATTTCATGTCTTGGCCAATAAACCTGCAGATAAAATTGAATGTTCATTTTACGGCTATTTGTGAGATCTGGCTGTGTGCAAATTGGCTGCTGTGTTTGTTTGTTAATAAAAACATTGACAGCAATGCCACGTGAGGCTTTGGTTGAGATATTTTGATGTCCCCGAGCGCTGTGTCAGACGGAAAGGGACTCAGTAATGTTCTATTGCAGGCGCTGACGTCAAAGCCACGATGTCGGATGGTGACAATGTCTTCACGAATCTGATCTTCCTGTTGGGGGAGACGGAGGGCAGAGAGCCGGAGGAGACAGCAGCCCTGCGACAGTTCTGTTTGGAAGCCACACAGTTGCTGCTGAGTCACTCGGCTGAGCCGAACGCCTGCCCACCCGAGGAGTCCCTTGTCTACGTCTGCATTAACCAGTATGAAGTCCACCTGCCATTGCTGCGAGCGCTCCTGGACTCTGGGGCCTGCTGCTACTGCCCACAGCATGGCCCTTCCTGCTGGTCTGGTTTCACCCTCGTCTTTGAGAGACTCCGCGTGTTGATGAACTGCTCGGACTCCGGCATAACCCATACAGACGCCTTGTGCCGAGCAGAGACTGCTCTCGAGCTGATGGTGGGCAGTACAGCTCACCCCAAAATACCTTCAGGTTGGAAGGTTATACCCTCAGCTTACCCTGTCCACACAGAACATGTCCTTGGACTCTACAGATCTCTGAAGCTGATGGGGAGTTCTCCAGCTACACTGAAACACCTCTGCAGGGTATCCATTAAATGTCTTCTGCGGCCCGTGCCCTTAGATGCCAAAGTGAAAGCTTTGCCTTTGCCAGACCGACTGAAGTGGTTCCTGCTATTGGAAAATGGCAAGGGGGCGGAGGAGGAGATTCAGTGACGATGTGAGAGGAGGCACAGATGCAGCTGTTGGAGATTGTGTGTGAGAAGCTGACTTTTCCATCAGCTATAGGACAGCAGAGCCTCAGCTTCTCACGCTGTTTGGGCCACAAGCACCCATTTGCTCTTGCACACAATCTCACATCCAAGCAGTCAGCAGCGTGGACGAGAGGCTTGTGGAAACATTGCACAAGTGAAATCAGCGTCGTGTGCCACTACTGTCAAGCACTCTGGGACGCTACCCCTCGTGAGAGGTGCTACATAAATGCAAGTTGTTGTTGTTGCACTGGCCTGGTCTGTGGTGTGCTGCTGCCAGCTAGCACTGCAAAGACTTTTCATTAACAGTGAGTTCTTGCTATGAGAATGGGAAATTCTTCCCTATAACTGATTTCTCTTTTGTTTCCACCTTATTCCCAATCCCTGCAATTGTGAGCAGATTGTTAGGGAAACGCGTGTGGTTGGGGGGTGGGGGCTCTGAGTTAGCTCCACAGCAGATGAGCTGGTGGGGATGGAGCCCCCAAGTTCTAGCTGTTAGTGAGATTGGTTGCTGACACAGCATTGCTTGGTTCTCCCTGACCAGTGCTTCCCTTGCGATGGCTCTTTGATTTGTGAATAATTCAATGAATTGGTTCCCCCATTCTCCTCACTGTTGATTTCTCTTCCGAACATAAAGGGATTTCTCTCCAGATGGCTCATACTCTTTCCTCCGCGCGCTCACTGTGGCCAGCCTACTGCATGCTGACTATCCCGCTCTGTGCTGTCACTCAAGTCTGCGAGAGCAGCCTGTGGGGAACAGCTGACAGCACAAACCAGGGATCAAACCTGGGACCTTCCTGACCTTGCTCCTGAAATAACAGCAGCCGAGGCTGGGAGATATGCTTGAACGTCAGGCTGTTTGGCTCCTAATTCCGCCATGATTATTTCAGGACTGTAGTTGTTGCATTTGCATGTCATTGCACTTTTCCTTTGAGAAACAGTGGCAACTCCAAAAAGGCTCTGGGATAATGTGATTGGATATTTCAGCTGCTTCGGAGAGGGATTATTTCAGGCTTTTTCCTTTGAGTCTATGTAGACACTGCAATTACAACTCGTTCTTGTTGATTTGTGCTGTTGTAGCTAACTTTCACAAATTTTTTGTACAGTTTTTAACATTGTATTTGACGCTCTGTGGGAGCTCTCAAAATGACTTCACAATATTTACAGCAATGCTGAAATAATTGACACTCCGCATTCTACATAATTATATGTAACTTCAAAATGACCAGAATAAGAGAGAAGCATGAGAATACTGTTGGTAAAAGGTGCCAGGCGTGAGGAACAAACTACCAGCACAGCGAGGGGTTCATAAAGGAACCAGGAAAAATCTGGAAATTAAAAGGATTCATGGTTTATAGAATCTTACAGCATGGAAGGAGGTCATTCGGCCCATCGTGCCTGTGCTGGCTCTTTGGGAGAACCATCAAGTAATCCCACTCCCCGCTCTTACCCCGTAGCCCTGCAAATGTTTCCTTTTCAAGTACCTATCCAATTCCCTTTTGAACTCTGCTTATTAATGATGAGATGAAAATAATGTTTTGGAAAGCTGGACTGGAGTAACTGCTGCTATGCTGCTGGAGTGAGAGGCGAGTCTTCCTCTGGGATCGGTCTCTCCTGGGGTATCTAACTGGTCTGTACTGTGTGAGGGAGTCTGCTCTAGCCTGGCCACATTTGATTCGAGCCTATGTCCATTACTAACAGGGCATCCTGTGCCATAGATAGGTGTCCCCCTGGCTTGGTTGGTAGCACTCTTACCTTCGAATTAGAAGATTGTGGGTTCAAGCCCCAGATTGGGATTTTGAATTAGGCTGTCACTCCCAATACCGTGCCAGGGAAGCATCGTGTTGTCAGAGGTGCCATCCTTCAGCTGAGATATTAAACCAAGGCCTATCTATTCGTTCAAGATGATTTGATATCCCATCACACTTTTGGAAAGGAAGTTTCTTGCCAACAATTCCCCAGGTAAAATTAGTAATTTACTTCATGGCTGTTTGTGCGACATCGCTGGGCAAAATTGGTTGTTGCATTCACCAACAATTAGTCAGACTTCCGAAACACTTAAGATATTTCAATGAGATAAGGCACAATATCAATAGCAAGTTTATTGTCTGTAATGTGAGTAACTGAGGTAGTTAACTTGTCCTTTGCCCCGTAGCACTGCTGAATGTTGTTGCACATACACACTGAAGAAAATCACCCATGTTGCATTGTATTTACAATCTTCCCTTTTAAAAATCCTGAATGTTTTCACCCTCTGTAATGCTTTGCTCTTACTAACATGCTTGAAGCTGTATGAATGACAGAATATTCCAAATTTTTATATCTTCAGAATGTAATGCTCATTGTGAAAAGAAATGACAACTTAATGTAAATTGCTGTATGCTAAAATATTTGTATTTAGTCTTTATTTTAGGGCAGCCTGTAACAAGTAGCACCTCAGATTTACTTTCCCAATCCCTGTTCTGGATCTCAGGTGTGTTATGAGAAGATGCCCAAACTAACTCATTGATAGAGTAGGTAATTTTGGTAGCAGTTATGGAGGAGCACACTTATCTCTGGCTGATAAGAAATCTCTGCAAACAGTTGTGCTCAGCTAACCGTGCCACCGTCAGGGGCCAAGCTTGCAGCAACAATACCCCTCTACCCATCTGTCTGGCCCTCTGTCTTTAAATCACACCTAAATACCTACATCCAAAGCAGGATCCTCCCCCTCACCATTCTTCACAGGCCTCAGCTGAAAAGCAGTTTCGTTCCACGATGTTGATATGTACCTCAGTATGAGTCAGTGTTTTCAGGGGGAATGGGTGAGGAGAGAGAAGGAAGAGAGACTGAATTCACATTTCTAATGTGTTCTGCTTGTGTTAGGACACCTGATGGACCTTTACCCCGAGCACAAACCTACCACTGCAAAAAAAAACACAGCCACAGATTTCATATTTTTACTAAACAGTTTATTTTTAATTCCTGAAAAGCAGAGGTGGCTTTGGTTTTTTTTAAACAATAAGTTATTATAATGTGATAAATTGTGCCGTTTAAAAGTGGGACCCAAGCTCTGAGGCAGCAGCAGTACAGGATCCTCCTGAAATTTAGAATGTTCACTCTCACAGCACCCCAGCCAGGGGCTGCAGAGGGGAATGCCATAAGATCTCAAGAATTGTTGAACCCTCTGCACTGATGCTGGCTTCATTCTCCTCAATACAAGCTTCCTGATCTCTGTCAGGGCACCAGGCATGAAGGAAAGGAAACTCATTAAATTGGTCATCTCAGCATCTGGAACAGCCTGGGAGCAAGTTACCTGGTAACCTCTGGGTTTGGAAGTGCAGCTTGGCAAGAGAGGAGAAGAGAAGCCAACAGAAATAATGGAAGCGTTCCAGGGTTCTTTTCCATTGAGAGTGATTGGGCGTTTTCAGTGCAGATTTAACCTAGAGTGAATCAGGGAAGTGAAGTTTGAAAATAAGAATCTCCTAAAAATGACAGACCGAGGCTCAGATTAAACTGAAGGCAAATGAGTTTTTTTTTTGGCATGACAAGCTAGTTATCGCTCACCATTATGGAGAGTTCAGGACCTCAGTTTGTGCCCTTGCTCACAGATTAGTCCAGTCATTGGAAAGATTGATCCAGCCAAAGGCAGGCAGCGAGAGTTGTGTGCTTCTGTTCAGTGTTTGATGTGATGTTCTGTGGATTCCCCTCCCCTCCCCCCAAGCTCAGACACAGGAGCTCTGCTTACAAACGCTGCTCTTTATGAATGGTTAGCTGGGCCTCATGGCGAGGCTGTACACCTGGTAAATCTCATCGGGGAAGTTGTCCTGCTTCTCCTCGGCCAGCATGCTGAGCCCCGCCAGTTTGATGATTTTGCGGAGGGTCCCGAGGTCCCGGCACACGCTGCTGTCCACCTCGTCCATCACCAGGCCTTCCTGGGTCACGTTGTCCTTGATGCAGATGATTCCGTTTGACCGAAGACCCTTTTTGCATCTCTTCAGGAACTGGGTGAGGTGCTCGTCCGTCAGGTGTCCTAACACAAGCAGAACACATTGGAAATGTGAATTAATTCCTTACTTCATCTTGTTCCTCGCCCATTCCCCCGAAAACACTGACTCATACTGAAGTACATATTCATGGCTCCACAGCCCATTTTCCTCTATAAACTCAGTTAGTAGGTTATTCAGCAATGGAAGGTATCACAGCTGAACATCATCCTGTCGTCATCTAGATTCATACACTTACCTTCCAGCAAAATAGTCTGGATAAGGATTGGAGCTGATTTTCCTAGCCCGGGGAGTGGAAACTGAGGAGAGATCTATTTTTTATGAAACACTTTTTATGGCTTGGCACTGCACCACTTGGCCACCTTGCATTGAAAATACAATACAATTTATACTTAAATAGCACCTTTTAAAAGGTGCTATTTTACATTCACAATGCTTGCTGGCTGGCAAACGTGGCAGCTAATCTACACCAGCAATATCCCGTAAACAATGAGATGAGCAACTAATTCATTTGAAAATAGGCTAGGGGATTTGGATGGGGAGCAAACAGAAACAAGGAGAAAAGAAAAAACAGCAGTAAGGTAGTCCCTTTAAATCCACCTGAATCACAAAATGCAGATACCTAAACAAATAGCACAATTAACAATGTAGGGTCATTCACACAGGATAGATGTGCTGTACAAGGATGAAATTGGACGCCAAGCAAGGAGGAAGAGGACCATAGGTGCAGTCAAAGATGTGGGTCTTAAAGTGGGATTTAAAGCTAGATAAAGCAGGGGTGAGGTGGAGGGATTGAGGCAGGGAGTTCCAGAGATTAGGTGTAGTGGCTGAAGGCACAATCACCGATGGTGGCACAGACAGGTCAGGACGCACAGTAAGTCTGTGTCAGAATGAGGTGGGATCAGGAATTTTAAAAATATATACTGTAGTCTTAGACTGGAAGTCTCAGGCAAATTGTGGATCAAAACTACAAACCAGCAACACTGAAGCATATAGTCTTCCCGAGAGTTCAAAGCGGAGGACACATTGTTGGAGTAACAGAGGCAGGTCACGGCAATCAACCATTTATAGCTGATCTTTGCATGCTTCATCCCAACACTAAATGCGGGTGGGGGAGTGTTGCAGCGGACAAAACTCAACTCAAGATCTGACGCGGTGATAAGCTGGAAGATATTGTACAACCTACCTATTACCCATTGGATCCAGATGACGTCATAGCGCTGGGACTGTGGGGCAAAGAACTGGAGGCCGCAGCAGAAGTAGTTCTCCACGCGCTTTCCGTCTTCCCCCAGGAACACTTTAGCCTTGGCCAGGAAGCTCTCAGTCACGTCCACCATGTCAACCTTTTTGAACATGGGCAGCAGCAGACGCTTAGTTATCCTTCCAATGCCCGCGCCGCAGTCCAGTGCCAAATTAGCCCCCACTTTGCCAGCGCCGTCCTGTGGCAGACAGAAGGGAAGAGATTTCAAGGGTGAACATTTGGGTTACAGCTACATTAGTTTTTTTAAGTTTTACTAATAACTGCGGTTTCTCCACTTTGTGGTTCAGGCTGCTATACTATTTCAGAGAAATAATTTTTTCTGCTGGTTTCTATTTCCCTCTTCAACCAAATGTAACCTTTTTCAAATGAATCATCTCATTGTTTAAGGGTCGCTTTTCACACACATTAGCTCCCACATTTGTTCTATAACAATCAGTTCATTTCTAATTAATCAGAATCGTAGAAACTACAGAAGAAGGCCATTTGGCCCAGCGCGTCAGTGCTGGCTCTTTTGAAGAGTGATCCATTCAATCCCATTTAACTGCCTTTTCCCCTATAGTGATAGTTTACTTTTTAAATATTTATCAGTTTTCACCCTTTTGAAAGCTAATATTGATTCCGCCTCAACCACCACTCCCGGTAAGGTGTGTGAAAACATTTCTTAATAAAAGTATTATTATTATTTCTCCTTGCCTCCCCATTTGCTCATTTACTAACTATCTTAAATTGATGCCCTCCATTTACTGACTCACCAACCAGTGGAAATAATGTCCCCCAATTGTCCATCAAAACCCCTCATTAATAATAATCCCTCCAAAATCAAAAACAATAATAAATTGGTCATTTTCAATCTACAACTGTTTGTGGGACATTGCTGTGTGCAATTGGCTGCCGCGTTCGCCCACAAATATACAATTCACTTTACAGTGTGTTCTGTGAAGTGCTTTGGGACGTCCTCCCGACGTGAAAAGCGCTATATCAAATGCACGGATTATTATTATTATTTTAAAGACCTTGATCAGGTCAGCAATCAATTCTTTGTTCCAAAGGGAAAACATCCCAGTTCCTTCAGTCTCTGCCATATCACTCTGCCGGTATCATCCTAGTAAATCTCTGCACCCCCTGTATCACTTCGACAACCTTCCTACAGTGGAGCGACCAAAAACTGGACACAATAATCTAACTGTGGTATAACTAACGATTTATATAAGTTTATCATTGCCTCTTTTTAAAAATATTTTTATACATCTATTTACTAGGCTACAAGAGCCTGTAACTCCCATCCTCTCCACTGGATCCCCACCCCTGAACGTATTGAGTTCAAGATCCTTGCCTTTGAATCCCTCCACTGTAATAATTTGATCACTCAATGTTCGACTGTTGTGGGATACTGCTGTGTGCAACTGGCTGCTGCATTTCACCTATAAAATATACTTTACAGTATATTCCGTGGAACGCTTTGAGACATCTCAACGCCGTGATAAGGCGCAGTATCGAGTGCAGCCCATCATCGGTAGCCAGGCTTTCAGTCTATCTGTAACAACTCTCTGAAACTCCATCCTGGAGCCCCTCTCTCCCTTCAGCTCCCATCCCCCAGTTCAGGTGCCAAACTAGGATTGTTTAGTGCCTTAAGGTATCCTCCCTGTGTGAAAGATGCTGTATAAATGTACATTTGTATTATATAAAATCAAGCATTCCATTTGCTTGCGTGACAGCTTTGCACACCCCCCTTCCCACCTTCAAGCTTCTGTAAATATATTATGCAAAGCTCTTCAAGATGCTTCTTTGACACTAAACATGCCTCGTGGCTTTTCTTTTTATATGACTCACCCCAACAAATCGTTGAAGGAACTTCTTAGAGGAGTTAATATCTATGTTGGAAATGTGCCCATAGCCCCCCAACATGCCATCCACTGTCGGAGGAATATTTTTCCAGTACTTCTGGGCTTTAGAGTAGAACGCCACCTCGTCATCAACCACTTCCGTAGTCATGATGTACGACTTTAATGTCACTGGGTGAGTCAACTGAAACATAGAAATAAGAATTAGATCATATGGATTAATCGGGAGGATGTCCCAAGTACAGGAGCACCATCAAACCCAACAGGTTTTGAAATCTGTGCACCACAAAGTAAGGTGTGAGGTTTGTCAGTTATAGCCCCAAACACTGCCCAGTTACATTCAGTTAACTCAGCAGGCGTGGCCACGGGACTTTCCTGGTCTGTGCAAGTTTCTCACGAGGTGCTAGTTTTACCAATTGAGTCATCGGGAAGCAGTACAAACAGCTTTGAATTGACAATGTGGCCTATCAACCCTGAATAAATATAAATCCGAATCTCAAAACCTTCACCAACAAAGGCAGAGTTCAATCAAAGCCAGTGTGTTGTGAGAAAAGTGGCTCAGGGGTTGATCCATTAATGCAGCGTGCAGCCACAACAATAGGAGAAAAATCTGAATTCACTGAGCGGAGTGTATTTGTGGTCACGTTTGACCTGACAGTGAGAAGCCCAGAATTCAGAACGACTAGGGAACTCAGACAACTTTTTAAATAGTCTGACAGGTTAAACAGCTGTGGATGAAACAGGTGGAGAATAACCCCCTGCTGCCTTTTCAAGGAACCACCAGCCCCATTCTAAAAATTCACCAACTATATTGGGAAAGCTCACCAATACCCCTCTTCAATCTGTCAGCCTCTCGCACCAGAGGGGAGCTTAATTAAGAACACATTCAAGCATTGAAACATTTTGACCTTAAAAAACTGAATTTCCTCAGCAGCATAACACATGCCCTCAGTATTCTGAAGAGAACATTTTAGTCTTCAAGGGTTATGGTCACTCAACAGAGCACGAGATACTCAATAAAACAAGGAGAGCTATTTAAAGGAGGTCGGTGGGGGGTGGGAGTTGTGCGAGTGTTTGATTTCAAATTTTCGTGTGGAACAAGTACGTTCCGAGGGTTCCAGCCAGGGGGGGGNCTCATGACAAACCTCCTTCCATCCCACAGCATCATTTTGACCAAGATAGCTCAGGACAGACGATAGGCTTTGGAGCACATTGTGGACCAAGTCTTACCAACTTGGGATTCATCTAGTCCCTTCAAAGCAATAATTTACATTTATGTAATGCCTTTCAAGTGGGATAACAGTGAATTCACAGAAGCAGTGTCGGGCATCGAACAAGGGGGGGGGTTAGGTGGAATTTAAAGGCATTAGAGGGGGCAAGACAAGGTTAGGGGGAATGAGACAAAGACAGGGTAGGGGGAGCCAAGTCAGAAACTGGGACAGAGGGGGACTAGGTAGACAACAGGGCAGGGAAGGGGTGGGGGGGGTGTGGACGAGGCAGAAAGTAGGAGGGGGGGAACACAAGACAGAGCAGAGAGGGGAATGTGATAGAGGGGGGAATTAGAGAGAGGAAGGAACGAGACAGAGAGGGGGGTGGGTGGGGCAAAGGCGGAACAAGCCTGGGAGTGGGGCAAAGGGGGGAACAAGGCAGAGAGTGGGGGAAAGGGGGAACAAGGCAGAGAGTGGGGGAAAGGGGGGAACAAGGCAGAGAGTGGGGGAAAGGGGGGAACAAGGCAGAGAGTGGGGGAAAGGGGGGAACAAGGCAGAGAGTGGGGGAAAGGGGGGAACAGGGCAGAGAGTGGGGGAAAGGGGGGAATAAGGCAGAGAGTGGGGGAAAGGGGGGAATAAGACAGAGTGGGGCAAAGGCTGAGGGGTAGTGGCTGAGGGTCAGTAGCATAGTCTTTAACTGGTTCTTACACTTCAACATCCTCTTAAGTGTTAATATTAAAGCCCCAATAATCATTACGGCACGTGCCGAGGTTGGGGGGACACCCTCCCACCCACCCGAGGCGTCAGCGCTGCGGTCGCCCCTCGGCGAGGCAAGAGTGTGGGGGGGCGCTCAGCAACGCCCGGAGCCCAGCCTGGGCCCACAGGGGACGGGAGGAGAGAGGGGGGGGAAACGGGCGCTGCGGCAACTTTCCGGGCCCGGAGTGCGCCCCAGAGCCGGAGACTAGAGTCGGATGCTACACCCCGGCCCCGGGGCCACCCGAGCGGCGGCGGCGGCGGCTAAATCACCGCCCGTGTTTTGGCCGTCGCTCTGGCGACCCCCGAACGGGCGGGAGCGCTCCCCACCCGAGCGGGATATTCAAACCCTAACCGTCTCGGTGTGGCGCGACGGGAGTCACTGACCTGCTGACTGACTGACCGGCGGGCGGGCGGGCGGAGTGTCCACCTCACCTCAGGCTAACGGTCGCTCGAAACGGCGGCGGCTGCGGCGGCGGCCCCGCGAGCAGCGCGCGCCATGGCCGGCGTCTTGGCAACGTGCGTCACGACGTCATGACGCCTTCCCGCCGGCTGCTACCGGATTGGACGGCGGGGTTCACGCCCACTTTTGGCCATTTGACTCTCTATATATATATATATAATGATGAGACGCGCCGCCATTTTTTTTTCACCCCCTGTGGTGGTGTCGGTTTTTTTTCGCGTGGAATGCAAATGGCTCGTTGGGCAGGTGCCTAATTTCTAATTTTGTCATTGACCGCGACAGTAACAATGGTTCGCTCTGACCCCGCGCCTCATCACGTGCACACAACGCGCTTCACAGGCCACAAAGCGCTGCGCCTGTGTATTTTGCGGGCGAAACCCGGCAGCCGGGTTCGCGCACGGCGGTGTCCCGCGAAAGAGCCGCGGATTGAGTGGCCAATTTTATTCGGGTGATTGTCGGCCAGGACGTGGGGGCCGCTCTTCTTTTCGAACAGTGCTGCGGGATCTGTAACGTCCACCTGAACGGGCAGACAGTCTTAGCGAAGGAAGGCACCTCCGACAATGCAACCCCCACCCACACTCACCCACCCAACCTCCAGCACTGCAATGGAGCATCATCTCTTGGACCGCGTGATTCCAACCTTCGAGATGCGCCTCGAACCCGCAACCCGGTGACTCGGGAGGCGAGAGTGCCACCACTGAGCCAGGCTGACGCATCATTTAAACCCGCAAAACGTTTTCTTCCCCCCCCACCCACCCCCACCACAACCTCCCTTTTGTAGACCTTTTATTACCCGGTTTCAAAAGTACAAATCTAAATCAGGTGAAACATAATATTGGGCTGTTTCGGGAGAGTATTTGGTGAACTTCGGGCTATAAACAGATTGTGGGTGGTCGCTATCCTCCCTCTCCCCTCCCCCCTTCCCCCCCCTCCGGATCATGTTCTTTTCAAAGATAGCACCACCTTAAAACCATACAATAACATGTGACAGTTTATTTGCATGTTGTGACTATGGAGGAGGGAAAGGGACCGGTGGAAAGCGGTGAAGAGCCACGTGACGGTCGACGTGGTTACACGTTGGTGATGTCACATGGACGCGTCGCCAATGGCAACCGGGCGGGCCGGAGTCCGCAGGCGCAGGCGCAGGCGCAGATCGGCGGCGAAGCGGCAGACGGCGCGATGACGTCACGCACGCCAGCGGGAGCGCGGCGGCCCCCGTTGCCGAGGCGACGCGACGCGACGCTCGCGGACCGGCGGTCGGTGTTGAGGTGGGGCTCGGCCGCCGCTGCCGCTTCGCAGGTCAGTTCACGAGGGCCGGGCGGCTGGAGGTCAGAGGAGGAGGAGGGGGGGCGGAGGAGGAGGGGGGCGGAGGAGGAGGGGGGGCAGAGGAGGAGGGGGGGCAGAGGAGGGGGGGGGCAGAGGAGGGGGGGGCAGAGGAGGAGGGGGGGCGGAGGAGGAGGGGGGGCGGAGGAGGAGGGGGGGCAGAGGAGGAGGGGGGGGCAGAGGAGGGGGGGGGCAGAGGAGGAGGGGGGGGCAGAGGAGGAGGGGGCAGAGGAGGGGGGGCAGAGGAGGAGGGGGGGCAGAGGGGGTTAAAGGAAGGTCGAGTGGGGCAAAGGAGTTGGGCAAAAGAGGGGAGTCAAAGGACGGGGTGGGGGAAGGGAGGGGGTGTGGGGCAAAGGTGGGGGCTAGAGGTCAGAGAACAGAGAAGCTAGAAGTCAAAGGGGGGTGAGCAAAGGAGGGAAGGGCAACAACAACAACAACAACAAAATTACATTTATCGAGCGCCTTTCACGTCGGGAGGACGTCCCAAGGCGCTGGAAGGTGGGGGGGGGGGGGGGGACAAAGGGGAAAAGGAGATGGAGGGCAAAGGGGTGGTAAGGCTGGCCGCCCTCGCCCTGAGCCTAGCAGTGCAGCCAGGCACCTCCGCTCAGTGCTGGGGGAGCGTCGCATTCTTAGTGGTCGCCGTCCGCCGGGTGAGACTCTAAACCCAGCCTCCCCCCTCCCACCCACCCCGCCTGATTTAAAAATTGCGATATAAATCATCGCCCACAAATATACAGTCCATTCACTTCACAGTGTGTTCTGTGAAGCGCTTTGGGACGTCCTCCCGACGTGAAAAGCGCTATATCAAATGCAAGGATTATTATTATTATTATTATCATTATCATTGCTGTCCATTGTGAGGATGACAACTCAACTTTCTGATTTTTACAAAAGAAGCTCATGCGATCGGGTCTAGATTTATAAATACGGCGGGGTGGGGGTGTATAGATGGATAGATAACCTGAAGGAAAGCTGATGTGAGCGCAAATATAGTTAACTTGCATTTTAAGTTGTATAAACTAATATCAGAAAATTGTTCATTTCCTTATGTCTGCCATATATATATCTAAGGATCCTCCTTCCAGTTGGGTTGCTGGGAGAACACCTTAGAGCCAGGCAACTCCCCAAAACTGTCGGAGCAGAATCAAAATGGGATATTTTATAGAGTGACGGATACTTGGGATGTAAGGGTACAGGGAAAAGTGGGGAAATGGGATTAAAAACCCACCATCGGAGATCGTGCTTTCAGCCACTATGCGCCAAAACTCTGTAACCCTCTCTCTCAATTCCTCCGCCTTGCCCTCTCCCTTCTTTCAAGTCCTGCCTGAAAGTTTACCCCAGAAGTCAGGATCAATGACCTCCATCAGTGAACTGTAGATATGCATCCCACTTGCAGTAGGGAAGTTGTCAGACTTCATTCTGAACCTTCTTCTGACTGTTTAGAAACCTGGCAAATTGATATGCCAATTATTTTAAGGAGGCCCACAACCAAGTTGAAATCTATTTCTTTCCTCCTTCCCCCCCAGCTAATCTGTGAAGCTCCCACTTTTCGGAATGCAGTAAGAATGTCACTCTAGTCCCCCTTGGCTTGATCCATGCGGCTTCAGTTCCTCCAATCACTGCTTTCCAACATGTCTGCACGCACACTGTGACCTGCTAGTCTCCTGCCATCTCACTGTCTGCTGCAAACCATCTCGGGGTTGTAAGTCGGTTAAGATGAAGCTGATTTGAGCTGAGTGGGGTCTCCCGTGGTTCAGGCTCGCAGCTGGCACTGTGCCATTTAAATTGTTATTGTTTTTTTGAAAAGTTAAGACAGAGTGCATAGGTTTTTTTAAATATATATATAGGGAATTAAATAAATGCTTGAAAAAAAGAGGAATATTGAAGGGAGCCAAGCAGGTGATTCGTATGGAATAAAATAGCAGGCCAGACTTGATGGGCCAAATGATCTGTTTCGATGCTGTAACAGTGTGTGAATTTGATTCTTTATAACCAGATGTAAAAATAAGAGGGTGCTGACGTACACTAAGTATTCCCCTCTATGTGTCTCTCTGTCCCCCTCCTCGTACTGGTATAGCTCCTGCCAGCCGGTGTCAGGGCAGCATTGCTCGTTACTTGTGATCCAGTCAACCCGCTTGTCCAAATGGCAAGAAGAGAGTTTATTTCTCTGTTAAACTTTTTTTTAAAAAATTTGGTACTGAATCGTTGCTCTGGTATTTATTTTTAAGTGTATTTCTGAGTTAACTTGCCACTCTTTCTCTTTCCTTGCTCTCTGGTTCCATGGTGGGGGGAGTGTGGGTGGGGGGGAGCGAGAACGAGAAGCGAGAAGGGTTCCTGGAACATTAATTGGTTTCAGAGATGAAGGCAGAGGGGTTTTTTTTGGTGCCAGAATGAGATCTCCAACAACGAACCACTTCAGTGACTCAGAGAGCAGCATAATTAAGGAGAGAGTCCCATGTGTTTCTCCTCTCTTTTATGAGAACCAGATTTTTGGAAGTCACTGAAAATTATTTTTTGCAGATGTGATGTGATTGTGATGAAAAGCAGCTGCTCCCTTGGAAGAGAGGCTGCAGAAGATATTTTGGGAGAGTGGAGTTGGAGAGGAGAGTGGCAAAGTCCAAGTCCCAGTCTGCGATCAAGTCAATGCAGCCAATTGCATAGATTTTAGGCTGCATCATTCATATGGTTCTGGCTTCAATATATTTAGCTGGGATTTAATTAACTGGGGATTTACTTCTCTCGCCTGAGATAAAGAGATCATGATGGTTGGGGAGGACATTTTCAAAAATTATAGCACAATAATAAAATAATAATCCTTGCATTTAATACAGCACCTTATCATATCGTCAAAACATTTCAAAGTGCTTCACGTTATTTTTTCAGTTTCCTTTTTCGGCAGTTCTGTTGACGTTAGTTTTGGTTTTGTAAGATTATTCTCTGTAAGATAATAATCCTAGCGTTTGGTTTAGATCCTTTCACATATCCTTTCATGTCAGCAGGTACTAGAGAGAGAGAGAGAGAGAGCCCTGTGGAGCCATACACGAACACGAGTCACTACCTTCAGAAAAGAGAGTCAGCGCAGAAGCAGGTTCTGTGCTGAAAATGTCTCTTTCCTTAAGGCGGTGACTTGTTGGGGTAAGGTTGTCTTTGGACCTTGGGAGTAAAATGCCGAGGACACTGATTTTTTTCCATCTCAATCGGTCCTGGCACATATCCACAAGGGGGCAGTAATCACTTGGGTTTTCCTTGTCTTGTTCTACAGATAACTGGAATCTTGCTAACCCACTTCTCTGCTCAAATACTTACGACTCACGACAACTACAACAACAAATTTACATTCATACACTGTAGAGCCTTTCACATCGGGAGGACACCCCAAGGTTCTGGACCATCCAGGCTTTGCACCGGATCGCTTTACAATGATGGAGTTGAACTTTGAGTAGAGTAGAGAGTATAGAGGAGGTGGCCATTGGTATAGTTGACGAGGAAGATTTTAACATGAAATGGGGCTGCTAAAATGTTGGAAATGGGACTTCTAAAATGCTGGATTTAATAATAATAATCCTTGCATTTGATAAAGCCACTTATCGCCTAGTTCAGATTCTTAAAGTGCTTCACAGCGTATATTGTAAAGTGAATTGAATTTTGTGGGCAAAACGCAGCAGCCAATTGTGCACATCAGTGTCCCACAAACAGTCGTGGATTGAGTGACCAAATTAT